AGCTGTTGGATCCTGCAGCGTTTTAGGTGGGAATGTTGCAGGACGACTGGGAGAAACAAACTCCCGCTTTGCGGCCTCAGTGTGGACAGGAGGGAATGAAAGAATAAAGTGACTGCTTTTACCATGTACTTTTCTTTTTGCTCCTTGCTTAGGCCCGAGTTCCTCTTCTTCCTGAGCTCCGCTACTTTCTCCTTGTATCGCAGCTGTCTCTCTGTTGGTGCCTGCAAGAAACCAGAGGTGGAACCTTCCCCAGGCTCCATCCACGTCAGACATTCTTCACCTTCCCACCCTAGAGGGCTTCTGCCCCAACATTCACTGGCTGAGGGTTGGTGCCTCTGAATCAAACCTTGTGCTAGTAAGAGGGCACTGCAGGTACAACGGGAAGGTTTTCTTGCTTTTGCTGTACCTCCATCCCACAAGACAGGGTGAACTCCTTATGCACTGCTTAATCACAGGGAGAGGCTTGGACCCGACTCATGAAGTCATCATGGCTCAAGTCCAAGGCTCATGAACTGAAGTTTTATTCTTTTCTATTTAGTCACAGTAAAATTGTAGGTTATAGTTCTGCAGCAATTCTTTTATCCTACGCATCAAAGCACACAGCAAAGATCATCCTGAGAACAGCTCCAGCCTCCTTTGTACTATTACTGACCAGTGCCACCTCTCTGCTCCCACCAGCTGTCCCAGTCTCTCATTTAAGGAATACAATGAATTGTCCTTGCTAAAATAAACTGGGGACAATAAATGTGGAGTGTCAGAGCACAACAGCTGATCTGGGAAGTGAAGAAGGGAAATCAAGTGAAAATCATTGCCACTGGAAACCCCAAGCTGAGGTTCTTGCACTCTGAACCAAGCAGCCACTGTGCAGGTCACTCACCTGGTGTCTGGTGGCGTGCCTGTTGTTGTCATCCTGCCGATGGGCCAGCATCCTCTCCTCAATCTGCTTGTCCCGGCTCTGTGCTCGCACCTGGAAGCCAAAATTCACCTGTCAGTGCTGCAGAAAACTGCTATCAAGGCCTTCACCCTTTCCTTTTCCTGCTTAGGTGAATTTCCTGAGTTGCAATGCACAGTTTGACACAAACGCTGCTGTCTTGCAGCTAAAGACATCAGCTAAAATGTGTAAACTCTCTTTCTGTTCACAAAGGACAGGTCTTGGCATTTTGTTTCAAAAAACAAATGCCATAGAATCACAAACTGGTTTGGGTTGGAAAGGACCTTAAGATCACCCAGTTCCAACCCCCTGCCATGGGCATGGACACCTCACCCTAGACCATGTCACCCAAGGCTCTGTCCAACCTGGCCTTGAACACTGCCAGGGATGGAGCATTCACCACTTCTCTGAGCAACCTGTTGCAGTGCTTCACCACCCTCGCAGTGAAGAACTGAGGAAGATAAACAGAAGACTCCTTTACCTTGCACTCGTCTGCTGAGAGATTATGGTACAGTGGGCACCCCGATATAGAGAAGTGTCGCTCATGTTTTCCAGTCAGGTGTCCTGCAAAGGATCAGGAAGAAAACAACCTTTAACATATGCTCCTGAAGAAGTTTCTGTTTAAAAGGTATCCCGGGTGGGCAGACCCCTCACAGGAGCTTTTCAAGGAGCATGCTCAGTCTATTACCAGTGTGGCAGAAGGAGCACACTCCCTGGTTCATGGCACAAGCTTTCAGAGCAAAGAAGGAAACTCTTTTTCAGGCCAACTCAAGAGCTGCACTGGTGCAAGCAGCCAGGTCTGTCTGAGGTCTGCAACAGTTGTGTCTGAAGATGGGCCCCTGGCAGACACCAGCACCCTACCTGCAAGAGCCTGCATTTTCCTCCTGTGCTCATCTCCTCACTTGTTCTTTACCCTATCACCCCCAAACACTCTTTGCCAGAAAACACTCCAGGAAGAATACACCTGCAGCTATGCTTCATATCCCTTCTCTACACCCACTTCTCAGTATACTTCTGATCCTAATTCAGTTATAGGATGTCTAACTGAACTGGGGGGGATGGGACACTTTGAATATCACAACACGAAGGTAAACCCCAACAGATTAATCCTGGAGCTGAAATTACCTAAAGAGTTACAGCCAGGAGTGGGACATTTCATGTTGAAATTGTAGCTTTCATGGAAGCGGCGGCGCTTAGGGCGGTGAGACAGGTCACTTCCAGAATCCTTCATGGACATGTCCTTGGCAATGCTCTCATCATGGGATACGTTTGGACTGGAGATATCAATATCAGATTCTGAGGAAGGGGCATTCCCAGTGGGGGTACGAGGCGGAGACTCATCGTGATCCGCTGCGTTTTTAGTGTCTGAATAAGGATCAAGATGTTACAAATCTGCCTGAAAGCAAGCTTGCAAAAAATACACAAAGCAACTCTGGAGCCCTCTGAACCCCTCTGTCCTCAGGATACTGCACGGTGTCCTCAGAGCGGAGTCACCCCCCCCCCCAGCAGCATGTGTGGTTTAACACCTCAGTGCACCCTGCCTACCTCTGTCAGAGAAGTCAACCACTTGCTCAGTCTCTGAGCCCGAGGAGCGCGTCTGCCGGAGCGGGTACTTCTTTGGGGTCACAGGAGCGGGCTGCTGCTGGCTGCGGGTCACCCTCCTCGTGGAATAGACAGGCTCCTCGGCTCCAAACGATGGTGGATTATGAACTGGGCTGGAATCTAATGCCATAGAAACACCACCATTAGCACCCACAGTAACAACCACTGCCAGTCAGTACTTCCCCTGGCTACTGGGCATCACCACGGGTTCTCTCCCCCCATGGTCACCACAAAGGGATGCTCTGATCTTCCCAGCTTAAATCTTTTGACACTTTTACCAACACTAAGGAATCTGGAATCACATCAGCTTTCTCTGCACTTAATTCCTTCTTAATTATAACTAGCAATTACAATGCAGCTCCCATTTGGAAAGCCAGAGAACCATTAATTTAGATAAGAACTATCATTGCTTAGACAACCTTTGGGAATAGCAAGATTGCTTCTGGTGTGGAGCTACATTTGGGACCCCGTGTGTGGCTTTGTGATCCTATACTGCTCATAAAACTATTACGTTTCCCCTAACAATATAACAACTACTTTGCAAGACAACAATGCTTTCATTACCTAGGAATATCATCCTATCCACATCCAAACCACCTTTCCTCTTTTTAAGACCTAATTCCCAGGTGATCCTGCATGTTTTATTTAGGTATAACCCGCCACACTGAAGTTCTGAAGGTCAGGAACCCGGAGCCCATGGAGCATCATCCTTGGGGCATCAGAGGCTGCTTGAAGCATTCACCTTGGGAGCTCTGGCTGAGCCTGGCTGAGGAGCGGGTCACGCGGGCAGACCGCCGGGACATGCCGTCACTCTCCGAGCTGTCGGTGTGCTCGGGGTCAGTGGAGAAGTCAGAGTCCTCTGTTCCATCCGAGCTACTGCCTGCGTTCCTCTGCAATGACACAGAGCCAGGCATCAGCACAGGAGCATGGCAACGTGCAGTTATTGATACTGTAACGTATTTGGTGCTAGGGACTACATGTAAGCTGACACAACAACACACGCGATAATAACTATCAAGTGCATTCCTCTGGAGAAAATAGTTTAGTTTAATAACTGCGTAGTGTCAGTGCAAATGGATCCACCAAGGCCACAGAACAGCTGGTTGTGCTTAAAGCAGCCGGTAAATGAAGGTTCAAGGCTGGAACGCGGGTAGGATGTGCCCCGAGCTAAGCGCTCCCGCTCAGTCTGCCAGCTCACAACAGCAGCAGCCAGCAGAGCACAAGGCACCACAGGACACAGATGGGCTCCAGCAATGGGTGGGACTGACTCCTCACCACTCAGTTCAGGGCAGTGTCAGGGTGCACGCACGGCAGAGAACGCAAAGTCAGCCTGAGGAGAAGCCGGGCCAGAAGAGGCTGCGAACGGAGCGGCATTCACCTCGCCCCGGGAACCCCCGCGCTCCCCTGCACCATGCCGCGGCCTGCGCGGCTCTTGGAGGGAAGAAGCCGACCGCGGGACCTGGCGGGCAGCCCCCCCGCGCTCCCAGCCCGCTCCCTGCCGGGACCACGGGGTCGCGGCCCCCGGGAGGCCCCGCCTCGGGCGCAGGCTCCCTCCGAAGCCGCGACCAGGCCTGAGGGGAGCGCGGCGGGGCCGGACGCGCCTGAGGGGAAGGGCGAGAGAGGTCGCTGAGGGCCCCGCGCCGCTTTGTTTTGCACCCAGCGGACGCTCGCCCGTCCCGGCCAATCACAACGCGGGTGGGAGGAGCCGAGAGGGAGAACGACCCAATAGGCGCTCATAAAGCGAAGGGGCGTGGCCGGCGGGCGTGACTGACGTCAGCCACCAGCCTATCAGCGCCAGGCTCGCGCGCCCACAGAGGCATCGATCCGGGGCGGACGGAGAGGGGTGGGGGAAGGGAGCAAGGGAGAAACAAGGCACGCGCGGGGAGGTGATTGTGGGGAGCTAGATGGGCAGCCTCTACAGCCAATCAGCTACCAGTCCGGCAAGGCAGTCCGACCAATAGGAGAGCAGCTCTCCAACTGCCTGCCAATCGGACAGCCCAAGAGCCGGGCCGCGCTACAGGCGCGGGGGAGGGGAAACGGTAACCGTTGAGGGAGATGAGTGACGAGCAAGATGGCCAATAAGCGCCCAGCGTGCCTGCGCGGTAGCCAATCAGGGAGCGAGCAGGGCGGGCGCTGGGGGCTGAAGGCCGCTATTTCCCCCCCGGTTTTGTGCCCATGAGAGGTAGCGGAGGGGGTGGGGAGGACGGGGGAGCTGCGGCCTGAGCTCCCGGTTCCCTCGCTGGGCCCTACCTTGGTTCTCCGGCTGCGCTTACCTTCCTGCGCGGCATCCTGGGCGGGGGCAGGGAGGCTGCCTGGTCCCCGGCGCCCCCGGCCCGCGAAGCGGCGCTCGCCGCCGTGTTAGCGCTGGCGGGCTCCGTGGTGGCAGCCGTATCTCCCGTCCTGCGGCACGTCTGCTCCGGCGGCGCCAGCCCGCTCCCGCCGCTGCCAGCTCCTGTGCCCTGCTCGGTCCCTCACGCTTCCGCCGGGACACGGTCCACACCCCCCACACCCGCGTCACGTGACCCCGAGCGAGCCTCACGCCAGCGGGCGCCGCCATCTTGGATTCTGGCAGGTATCCTGGTGGTGCCGCTGACGTTGAAGCTGTGGGCTGCCATCTTGGGTGCTGGCCGAGGGCTCTTGGCGGGAGCGGCGCGGCCGCCATCTTGAGTGCGGGTGTGAAGCGGGGGTTTCCCTCAGGGAGCCATGTTGGGTCCGGGCAGCCCACAGCGTCCGCGGAGGGATGGGGTGGCGGAAGGCGGTGAGTCCCCGTTGCTCTTGAGGCTGCGCCTGCGGCTCCCGGCCCGGTGCTGCTGAGGGGGTGCCGCGGCCTGTTGCAGGGAGAGGCCTGCCTGTGCTCCGGCTCCGCGCTGGGCCGGCCCGAGGCGGGCCTGGCAGGGCTGAGGTGCTGCTGGGGCTCCCGTTCGGGAGGGCTGTCGTTAGTTAATCTTTAGCTCTCCAAACACCCTCGGGGCCGGGTGGTGGCGCTTTGCTGTGCGGTTCTCTCTCGGGGGACTTGGAGCTGGTCGCGTTCCTGCCCGCAGCTACTGAGGCACCGTGGGGTTGTGGAGCAGAGGGACAGAGAGGTCCCGTCACCCACTGCGCGGGCCAAGCTCTGTGGGAGCTCTTGCCTTTGATTAGGCTGATAGCTAGTTAAATACAGGATAGCAGTAACATTAACGTGAAAGGAATAGCAAATAAACTACAATCTAAAGGGGCTCCAGGAAACCTGATGTTGTGGTTTAACCCCAGCCAGACAACTTGTGCACTCACTCCCAGTGAGTGGTGCCAGGCTGGAAGCAATCGAGGCCCACGTTAGCCCCGCCCTCCCCAGGGGCTGCCCCCCCTTCCCCGCTCCCAGAAGGATGGGGAGGAGAATCGAAAGAATGCAACTCCCACTGATTGAGATAAGAACGGTTTAGTAACTAAGGTATAACACAAATCACTACTGCTGCCACCAATAATAGTAATGATAAAGGAAATAACAAGGGAAGAGAATACAAGACCTCATCACCAGGTGACCGATAACTTCCCCCCCCCAGCCCGACCAAGCATCAACTGATACCTCTTCCAACCCTGCAGTCCCCTTAGCCCTTCCGGGTCACTCTCCCAGTTCACTCCTGGGCATGACGTGCTGTGGTATGGAATACCTCTTTGGTCAGTTTGGGTCAGGTGTCCTGTCTCTGCTTCCTCCCGGCTTCCCCTCCTCCCTGGCAGAGCATGAGGCCCAAAAAGTCCTTGGCCAAACCAAAACATTATAGTTACCAGCTTTGTTCCTCGCTGAAAGTCAAACCACAGCACTGCACCAGCTACCAAGAAAGAGAAAAATGAATGCTACTGCTAAACCCAGGACATCTGGAGAGGGGCTATGGACAAGGGCTTGTAGGGACAGACCAAGGGGAATGGCTTGAACCTGCCCAAGGGGAGACTGAGCTGAGCTCTTAGGCAGAAGCTCTTCCCTGTGAGGGTGCTGAGGCGCTGGCACAGGGTGCCCAGAGAAGCTGTGGCTGCCCCATCCCTGGCAGTGCTCAAGGCCAGGTTGGACACAGGGGCTTGGAGCAAGCTGCTCCAGTGGAAGGGGTCCCTGCCTGTGGCAGGGGTTGGAGCTGGAGGAGCTTCAAGGACTCTTCAACCCAAACCATTCTATGATTTGTGTAAAGACCTGGGTTAAAAACAAGGTTATTTAGTCAAACAGGATTTTTTTTCCAGCTCTGCTTATCTTTAGGGATTTATAGGATTTTTCAGGGCTAATCCTGTAATCCTCCTGAGGGTATGCTACCCTCAGTCATGTAAATAGCACCGTTTTTGTCATTCTAACTTGTTACTGCTCCTAGGTGTATCCAGGCTCCTGTGACATATGAAAGGCAAACCTGATGAAGTCAAGATGAAATACCCCTGCTCCTGGTGAAGCAGAGAGGAATGAGAAGCCGTATGTGTGGTACGTGAAGCGGGAGTTGTGTATCCGTGTACAGCGCTTGTACACACCTGTGGGAGTTGTGCTTATTTCGTAAGGAAAAGGAAAAACTGCCTAGAATTTAGTAGGATTTCCAGTTGCAGCTGAGCCCAATCTAGTGCTGGGCTATTGAGTGTGATGCTCTTGGGTTATTACACTGACTTAAAATGTTTAAGGTAAATTTGGGATTCCCCGTCCAAAACCTACCTTGTGTGAAAACCGCAGTGCTCAATTGTATCAGATAAAGAAATGAAATAGAATCAGAGCTTCTGGTGGTGCTGAAGTGTATGTCTGCAGTGAGGTGTTCATGTTGGTGGGTATTGGCAGGACTTCACCACCACCAAAAGGATGTGACTGGAAAAACAAAGCAAACAGAAGTGAGCGGTTAATGATCTGTGTAGAGGTGAACACAAGCCAGGAGCCCAGTTCCCTGTGCTGCCATAGCCCCTCCTGGTCATTCAAATGGGTATGCAAAGCATAAGCCCTCTGTGCAGTTGAAACATGGACTTAGTGTAACTTCAGAGTACCTGCTCTGTGGAGGAGGGAGCAGTGAGGAGGGAGGAAGTGGCCTGACGTTTGCTGAGGTGTCTCCAGCTCTTAAGAGAGCAATAGTTAGATCTTATGATCACAACAGCGCTTGCAAGAGCTCTTCTTCTGTGTGGGTCTTCCAGCAGAGCACACTGCAAGGATTTCCCTTCCTGCTGCAATGCTTCAGTTCCAAATCCAGCCCAAACTTAGGGGTTGATAGCAGAAATAAAAGCATCTTTTGCAATAAGTTGTATGCAGAGATGTGAAGAGCCCTTGGCCATGAGCCAGTGGCTGGGACTGAAGAAACTCCAGCCCTGCCATTTGCTGGAGCTGGAACTGCTCTGTCCTATGGAAAACCACCGAGTTCAGCTTGAGGCAGGTGCCTTCCGTGTTGGCATCGCCACTAGATGTCAGTGCCTGAAACTGCTGCTTCACCCTCAGCAAGCCACTGAAATGGGGGAAGAGAGGGAGCAAAAGTGATGTGGCTTCTGCTTAGGAGGATCTCTGCTGGGGTTAAGCTCCCTTTAATAAGCTGCTTACAACAGACTTGCAGTCTCTTCACTGACAGAAGTTTATAGCAATTGGTGACTTGAAATTTCATGTTAGATTACACCAAAGGGATTTTTTGTTTTGTTTTTTAAGCCCTTGGTTATTGAATATATGTAGGTGCCACATTGCCACTGATGTGTGTTATTTGCTGAGCTGCATTCCTGCAGGGCTGACTTACCTGCTCAAGTGTATTTTAAAAGAACTGAGAGAAACTCTATAATGAAAATACACCAGATGAGTATGTGCAATGGTGCACTTGAATATGTCTTCCTTGCTTTTAGGTACCATCTCAATGCAGCTCCGGGGGCTGAAGTTACAGAAAGACTTAGTAATGAGGAAGTGCTGCAGATATCCAGAGCACTGTTATCCTGAGACGCAGACCCAGGATGGTGGCAGCTGCTTTTACTTTCATGTCTTCAGAAGGTGAGTGGAGGTGGCTTCCCTCTGGTTTGGGCTCTAGCTTAATGTTTGGGCTTTAGGTAGGTGTAGGTGATAGAGCAGCATCAGAGAACCTCCTGAGCCAAGCATGGAAAGCCTGAAGAATTCCTCATCCAATTTAATGTGTCGTAAAGACTGGGAGTGAATCAGTCTCTCACAAGGGCACTTTTACTGTAGGATAACTGAGAGCTGCTCTTTGCTGAGTGCAGTTTTGGACAGGGCCTGAGCAACCTGATCTCCACTGGCCTGGCTCTGAGCAGGGTTTGGAGCCTGTCACTCACTGAGAAATTTGAACTTGGTTCTTGGCAAAGGATGCTCCATGATGTGCAGGCAGGTTCAATGCAGATCTGTATGTACAAATGGTAGGAGGTGCAAGACACAGAATGTAACCTGCTAGAAAATCTGTGTGGTTTTGAGTCTTCTGTTTGCAGCTGAAGAGGCCTGTTCTGCAGTGGGCCTTGGTACCCTTGAGAAGCAAACCCATCAACACCAGGGCTGTTTAATTCCTTCCCTCGTGGTGCTGAAGCCATCCAGCCTCTGGCATTTATTTGCATATTGGCAAAGCAGTTTTTACTTTTGCATTAGAAAAAGCTTCCATCAGCTGGTGCCCAGCAGGAGGACTCCAGTTTGGAGGGCTTTGGGTTGCAGACAGCTCAGCAAACAGCTGCATGTGTGTGTGTTGGTTTTCAGTTGAATTGATGCTAACTTGTATAAATAAGCAGCAAAGCCCCCTGGATGGAGAATCCTGGCCATGTACCACAGTGAAGGTCTTGGAGAACACAACTGGCTGCAGATGGATTGGGGTGTTTTGGTAAACTTGAAGGGAATCCATGAACTCACTCTTTCCCTGAGGCTCTGGCATGCAGACATCCCAGCAGAGCTGTGTTTGCTGGCAGCGGGAGCAAGGTCAGTCCTGTTTGGCCTAAATCTTTCTCTTCTTTTTAATTGTAATGGAAAAAAGACCTAACTGGAATTCTGCTGAAAGCAGAAGTTTCTCACTTAGTTACAGTTGAATATAGCTGCACTTCCTGGTTCCCTGTCTCCCCTGGGTCTCATGGGATAATCTAATTACTAAATAGTAGCAATAAAGCCCCATTTTGCCCTGGCAGGACTAATGCATATTAACATGCCAGATATTTTTATGCCATCCTCATCCTGTTCCTGCCTATTTTTTGGCTACTCTTGTCTGCTTTTGGATTTTGGATGTGCTCCTTTAATACATTCCTTCCAGTCTAGGCAGTGCTCTCCAAATGCCTGGCACTGATGTTAATGCCTTGCTTCCTAATCAATCAAGTCTGTTGCATGCTTCCTTAGAGGAAAACTCTGTTTGTGTTGTTCAGCCCAATGACACGGACTTCCACAGGCGTAAGAAACATTTGTCACCAAAGGTGACACTGATGTAGGAAGCGAAGGTGAAAATTTATCCTGTTTGGCATCTCTGAGCCCATCCTGTGGGCAGTTCTGTTTCATAAGGCTGACTGTGAGCCACAGACTTTGTAGCTCAGTTTCCAGCTGATGTGCATATCTTGGTTGTAGAAAGAACTTTGGGGGTATGAAGAAGAGGTTACATGTGTGTAGTAGGGTAAGAACTTGCCTTTGCTTACTCCACTAATGAAAGAGTGGGTTCAGGAAGTAGGAAGGCAGCCCTGATCTGCCAGGCTGATGGCTGAACTGGAGCTCTAATTGCTGACACTCCTCCGAGCAAACTGCCTGTCCTAAAACTGTAGAGCTGATTTAACAGCCATTCTCCTGAGCAAGCTGTCATCCCTTCCTGGAGAACATCTCACATCTCATGCAGCCTGTGTTATCTGAGGAAGTTGTAGTATGTCTCTGATGTTGGTTAACTCCTGAAGCTGTGTGCTTGGGCATGGGAGGAATAACAAGATCAGCACTTAGCATAAGTGGGTTCTACCAGCATAATCACAAGTTCTCATGTCCCTTTAGATGTGTTGTGTCCTGCTGCAGACAACCTTTGTGTGTCACTGAGCAGTCAAATGTCAGCTCCAGCCTGGCATAAATCAGCACTAATGATGATACACCCAAAATTCTGCAAGTGTAGGATGAAAGGATCCCAAAGAAGATCATAAACTTCATCCCTGATGTGTCTTGTTTTCCAGCAGGAGAAGCTGCAGGACCACAGCAGTTGGCTGATCAGATGGCTCTCAGAGTGGGTAGAAGGAACCCAAGCAGCAGTGGAGGATGTTGCAGCAGCAGGTATGAGACATATCTGGTATAGCTGTAGTTTTGAGTCCCTTGCCTGGTCTGACCTGGTTGATTGACTTGCCCTCCTTGTATTCCATTCCATGCTCTGTTGGCACTGCTGGGCTTCAGTGATTACTTTTAAGTGCACTCTTTCCTGCTGGGGTATTGATGATTCATACTATTAGGAGAAGCTTCTGCCTTGCCGTGCCTTGGTGAAAATGATATTTCATAATGTCTCCTTACTCCTAGCAGGGCTTATGCTCTGTTCCCAAAACTCCCACTGTTTTCACTGCAGGCATGACCAGACTGTGAAATAGCTTGGCTGGTCTGGTGAATAATCTGTTAGTCTTTTAATAAACTGCAGTTTTATTTGTCTTGCTGCTCTTTAGAGCTTTTCTATCTCAAAACATTTGAGTGCAGAAACTGCCCAGCAGTGAAATGCAGCCATCTCTCTTGGGGATAGAGTGGGAGACAGACAGGCATTTTACTCCACAGTTCAGAGTGAGAGGAATTTTGTTCAAGGACAATGAGGGAAAGCTTAGCTTGTGTGCTGAATGACCCTTTGATCTTCCACGTTCATGCTCAGCTGATCAGGACTTTAAATCTAAGCTCTGTCTCCCTCCTACCCATAGCAAACAGCCAGAAATATAATCTCATTTAGGACTTGAGCACTGGACCAGAATGACAGGACTGCAGTGGCAACTGGTCAGCCTCACATGTGTCCTGTTTGCCTGTCACTTCCTCAAGTGACACTGACCTAGAGTGGAAGAGGTGGGGGGTAGCAGTTCTGCAGTGCATAGCAGGGTCTGCTCAGAGGTGTCCAGTGGGAAGGGAAGGCCAGCGAGACAAACATAGTCTCCTTTAAACACTGAGGGACAGGGCAGTGTTGGAGCATTAGAAGGTGACTGTCAGGAATGTGCCAAATGGGTCAGTCCAGAGCCACGAGATGGATTTGATCATTGGGAAGCTTTGTGGTGGTTGCTCATTGTTTGCTGTGCTTTCTGAGGCTCAGAACAGTTCCCTAGTGTGTGGTAGCTCAGCTCTCCTGGGCCAGGAGAAACTGCTGTGGCAGAAGCAGAGGAAATGAGCAGGCAGAGGACGAGGAGCAGTTGGATCGTTCATGTGCAGCCCTTGAGCAGTTGTAAAAAATGGTGTTACTCCTGCTACTATGCAGCACGTCACTGGGAGCCTGAACTACAGGGAGATGACTGCAGTGTGTAGGCCAGAGCGGAGCCTGGAGGACTTCAGTTTTCTCTCACTTAACTCCCTGGTGTGTGTCTGTGAGGAAGGTTACAGAAAGGCTGTTCTTGTTGCAGATAAACTTGGCTGGCTGATAACGTGCAACTCAGCTGAGCTGGAATGGCTGTAGCCCATTTGATAGGTGACAGTTGGTGCTTTCCTGCCTCTTCCTACATACTACAGCAAAATGTGTGGGTTTAAACCATTTGGTGAAAGCAAAACTTGGGCTTGAGTGGTGCTTAGCTTAGGTTGTGATAAACAGCTTTGTTACACTATTCCTTTGCTGTGTTTGTAGCATGAGGTGTGATGAGAACAGGCACAGCTCTGTGACCTCCTTTATGCTAACCCAGAGCAGCACAGAGGAGGAGTTTTACATTGTTCCAGCTGTGGGTATTGAGTTCCAGTTGCAGAGCCTTAAAAAGGCAGAGAAACTGAAAGGTGAATTTGAATTTCTAGGTTGGAAGGGCTCTGAAGGGTTCCTCAAATAACTGCTGTGGACCTTGGGAAGGAAATGCTTTCAGGAAGACGGGTTGCTGTGAAGAAATGTCTGTATTCGGGTGGCAGGAAGGTTTCGGAGATCACCAGGGTACGGTATTACCTTGTTGCTGCAGTGGGAGCTGGGATGGGAAGAACTTTGAGGAGAGGAGACACTCGAGGACCCTTTGAATGAGGAATTTTAGGTTGTAAGGTTAAATGACCAGAGCAATACTTGACCTGTCATCAGGGCAATGCTGGTAACTCTGAGAAAGGGATATACCCTAACACTTGCTGTTCTGGAATGTTCCCCTAGCTTAGCACAGTCCTGAGCAGGGATCATTGTGCCTCCTTGTGTACTGGGTTTCCATCTTATCAGAGATCTCACTGCTCTCCTTGCTGGAAGAGATAAGGATGATTAGTTCCATGGGTGGCATCTTATTTGTTTACTGAGCTCTCATAACCAAAGCTGTGGTTTCTGTGGTCTCTTTGCTCTGTCTGGAGGTACAGGAGGTACCTCCTGTATTTTCCTTCAGTAACTGCAGTGTTGCACTATGCACCACCTCTTCCCCCGGGGTGTTTCTAGAAGCAAGGATGTAGCACTGTCCTCTTCCCCTCTGTTCCCTGATGACATGCAAATAGAAGCAGCGTCATGAGCAGAGGTACTGGAAGATCATGGGGAGCCCTGCTCTGCAGTGATAGCCCAGCTGCCTGCTGCTGCCACCACCTCTCCTCTCCAGACAGCTTGGCATGAAGCCCGGGCTGCTTTGCTACCTCATGCCTTTCCCCCTCTTGTTATCGAGCCATGCCACAGCTTCCCAGGCTCCTGGGTTAGAGAGATCAGCCTCACCCTTTGCACATGGGCAGATGCTTCCTTCAGCCTGCATAACTGTGTCCATCTGGATGCAGAATATAGGCCTGGACCCACAGCAGATAGAGTCCACTTGTAAGTGAAGTGCGGATATGGGAGTGGAAAGGGTGAAACCCAATGACCTTTGAGTTGTTCAGCCTGGAGAAGAGAAGGCTCCTGAAGGGGAGACCTTAGAGCAGCTTCAGTGCCTAAAGGGGCT